TCTAAGAAACATGCAAAGACTCATGAATCTAGCAAGGCAGAGGCTTTGTGATGTTTAGGTCCTAGAATAATATTTATCTTAAAACATGGAGAGGATTCTGAGGAGAGAATAGGATCTTTACTAGATGTTGTACAAGGTTTCAGCCGCACAATCCCTATTGTAGTTGGACAAATTCGTTTTCTGACATGCTATCTTCTTTGATCATCGTTGTCGTGATGTAACACGATTAATAGGTGAAAGAGTGTGGAGATTATTATAATTTAAGAGATCTTAGTTCAAAGTATTAGAACAAATTATCTTAGAAATATAGTTAATAGCCAAAGGGGTAGAAAAAATAAAAAGTACCAATGCTGCCTTTTAGAAAGGTGACTTCTATTTACTTTGTAGTACCATAAGTAAGGCAAATCAAAGTATATTGGGAAAATAAATGATATAGGAATATTTAGAAGAAAGTTAAGAGTAAATTCTAGAAAAAAAAATTACTTAAAAAAACTAGATATTGATACCCGGAGAGGGCCGGTTATGAACGAGGGTCGAAATCAGACCTTGAGGCACAAAACTGAGTCTCGATGACGACTTCGGGACTCTTTGGCAGATTGGAGAGTGGGGTTTGAGAGAATATTGGATAGGGTTTTTATGGGCATTGATTTTGGGTGATTTGGAGTTGATATGAATTTGTAAGAGCTTTGCAAAGTTGAGGTTTTTTCGGATGACTTGGGTTTTATGAAATAAAATAGGGTTTATGTTTTGAGTGATTTCGAGAGTTTTGTTGCAGATCTACAGGTGAATTTTTTTGGGTTCATGGCTATAGTTGTATTGAATACATGTTGTGAATTTGAGCTTGATCTAACGGTTGAACTGAGAGATATTGAGGTTTAAGTGAGTCAAGGTCTCAAAAAGTAGAATTTTAGGTCCAATGAGGGTTTTTAAGATTTCATGCAATCTACTAGTTGAATTGGAGTAAAACTTATGTGAGAGGATATTAAACTTGTTTTTCTATGTCCATGAGAAATTTGAAACCAATCGAACAGTGCAAAGAAGAGAAATTGGCTCTGGAAGGTTGGCAACAAGATTGGAGAAGGAGGCCGGCTAACACCCGAACACATTTTTGAGGTTTTCGTCAATTTGGTAATTCCGATACTTTCCAAATTTTTTTGCTTGTTTTGAACTTGATTTTTAAGAAGTGTGCAAATTTTGAATTGAGATCAACGGTTTATTCATTAGATATTGAGGTTTAAATCTGTCATAGGAATTACTAGGATTTGGATTAGGATTTGGCTAGGATTCGGTTTAGGGTTTGGATTAGGATTTGGACTAGGATTTGGATTAGGGTTTGGCTAGGGTTCAGTTTAGAATTTGGATTAGGATTTGGATTAGGGTTTGGATTAGGGTTTAAGATTTGGTTATGGTTTGATTTAGAGTTTGGATTAGGATTTGGATTAGGATTTTATTAGGGTTTGATTTAAGGTTTGATTTAGGATTTAGGATTTGGATTAGAGTTTAGGATTGGATTAGAGTTTGGATTAGAATTTAGGATTTGGTTAGGATTTGATTTAGGGTTTAGATTAGGGTTTGGTTAGGATTTGATTTAAGGTTTGGTTTAGGGTTTAGGATTGGATTAGGGTTTGGTTTAGGGTTTGATTTAGGGTTTGGTTTAGGGTTTAGGGTTTGAAATAGGGTTTAATTTAATATTTTTTTAGGATTTGACTTAGGGTTTAAGATTTAATTAGGTTTGGTCTAAAGTTGAGTAAAATTCAATAGGGTTTTAACTAGAATTAAATTAAGGTTGAATTTACATATATTTGAGTAAAATTTGTGATCATTCTAATATTTCTTTAAGAATTTTATTGTTTGTTTGAAATTTCTTTGAGTTTTTTTGCATTGGATTACGTTTGTTTACCATTATTATAGTCTAATTAGAGCATTGTTAGTATTCTATTTAGGATTTTGTTATCTCAATTTCTATTCTTCCTTCTACAGCCAGGTGCCCAAAGCATTCTCAAGCAAGACTTCACACATTATGACACCGTACTCTTCATTTTATGGTTGTATCGCTTCTTTGGGCAATGTTAAGCAGTGTGCTTAAGTTCTCCACAATATAAGCACAATCCTTCTTGACAACGATAAGTCTTTTCTTGCTCAATAAGAAGTTTGAAGCATGACTCATCAATTTATATATCCTCTACTTTTGAATGTATGTGTTGAATAGATGTTGGTGTTGCCATTAATTTATAGTAAAGTTGAGGTCCACTTGTACAGTTCTCAAATCAGAATTCAAAAAGACAATTGTCGCACTTCACAGTAAAGTTAATTGTTTGATTCAATGTTTAAGGATCAGGTAAGTTGAGCATCAATTTTTTTAATTCATATTATAATCTATAGAGAAATTAGCTAACAAATGCAGCATCATCCCACTTGATATCAGTTGCAAGTTGTCAAAACTATGAAGCATATAATGTTACTCATTGATTATTTTATCACAAAATATGGATCTTATTGGTTGCATCATGAATTGTATTATGTTCACCATACATGGATCAAAACTCCTCTAAAAAAGCCTCTAGATTATCCAATATTAGATCTTGTCATTCAAGAAAAGATGAAAACTATGATAATGGTGAACCTGAAAGAAGCATACTAATGAATCTAACTTACGATCCTGGAGTTGGATAGCTTTGGGATTGAAGTTCAATCACAAGTTGTACTTGATTGATAAATCCTCTAAACTTTAATCTAATGCCATCAAACTTCTTAAGTAGGGCAATTCTTGATTCTCTAACACTGGAAGGGCATTCCACTATAGGAGAAGGGACATGATTTGGTGCAAATGTTGAAGCAACTCTAATCATTTCTATATCTTCACTTTCTATCAATCTTCTTACTCCTTGTGGTGGTAAATTGAGTTGATGTATCACAAGCATTAACTCCCTCAATTACTCTTGTATTTGTACCATTGTACTCTTCATTTCAATAAGTTTTGCCATGACAACACTTAGAAAAAAAGATGTCTAATATTGCTCAAGACAAATAGAAGAGAGGGATTGAGAACAAAGAAAATACTAAAGAAAATATCAGTTTAGAAGAGGATAATCTGCAACTTCTAATATGCTTATGTCTTATTAAGAGAAAGATATAATCCACTCTTAATCAAGATTAGACAAAGCTCTGATATTATAAGTGTACTTTTGTCAATATGTCAAGGATAAGAACTTGATAAAAATAAATAAACAAGTACGTCTTCTCTCAAAAAAAGATGACAAAATAGAAATAACTCAATATGTATATTAAATAAGAAACTGGAATGGCTATTGCTAAAAGACAAGAAAATTAGAAACCCTTGAAACTAAACTAGAAGCAAGAATAGAATTGACAAGAATAAAGAGGGCTTCACTCTTGTCTTTATATATACTATCTAACAAGGGGCTACGTGGTGATGTTTTATAGGACCTCCAATATGTGTTGACTTTGTAGGATACATGCCTTGACTTACAAGGCAAGTTTTTTTATGTGTGGGCGACATAGTTAGCTTGGTCTTCAAGCTAACAACATGTGTGGCACATGGCCAACTTGTTGACCACGTTTTTAATCCAAAAAGTCAATTAAAGACACCTATAAAGTCAAAGTAGCATCTATGAAGCTTCTAAAAAGCTTTTATAGCAAATATTATAGAATTAACTTATTTTTATCTACTTTTACTTACTTCTACCTATTTATACATGTATATATTGGCTTACAAGGATATGTCCATAACACCAACACATCTAAAGTCAAAACCACATCTATAAATCTTCTAGGAAGCTTTTCTAGAAGACTTTATGAAATTATTCTATATTTATTTAATCATATAAGTAACTATTGAGGTAAATGTATATGTCCGTGACACAATATCAATTACATATGTATTCATTGGCTATAACAAACAAAAGAAAGCATATCATTGTTTTTATCTACATAAAAGAAAGATATTGATTAATAACAATGTAATTATAGATTAGATTACATAAAAAAAGTTTAATTTTAGTAAAATCTTCTAAAAAAAAAGTATTTTAAAGATATTTTCTTTATTTGATAAAGATCATATTATACAAAATATTGAACTAAATGAAGATACATCTATTCCAAATCCACTTGAGCAAAATGAATTCTTTATTGAATCTAATAATCTTTTGTTTGCTAAAATTCTTTAATCTTTTGATATTTAAGAGCTAAGTCCATCTGCTTTAGATTCAATTGTATTAGATTCAATTACTTTGGATTCAATTGTACTAGCTCCAAATTAAATTGAAGCATGTCTAGATTCAAGTGAATCATCACCAACCAACAACTCAAGACAAATAAAAAGAATTCACTTAAAAAATGTCCTAAAAACTCAACAAACTTCATCTAGAATTAGGTTAGATCTGTATAAATATGCTGAATATCAATTGTGTTTGTTTTTAAAGAACAAGATTTTGTTTAGCTCTTTTAGTTAATTCATTTCATGACATAAAGAGAAAAGATGCTCTTTAAGATTTGAAGTAGATTGCTACTATAGAAGTAAGTATGCATGCTCACCAGCATAATGGTGCTTAGAATCTAATTAGCTTATTATCAAGGATTTTATTTAATTAGCTAGATGGATTATTAGGTATAGATTTTGCTAGGATTTTTCAAAAAAATCAATACTATCACAATTAAACCTCCATCTTTATTGTGGCAACATGAATGCAATTAAATTAACCAAAAATCCTAAATTTCATGCCAAAACAAAGCACTAAGAGGTCCATTATCATTTTGTAAGAGAAATAATATTTGAAAGAGAAATTACAATGAATCACATCAAATCAATGTATAAAATTACAAACATACTCGCAAAGGTGCTTTCTAAATACAAGTTTGAGAGAAACAAGGATTTAATCAAACTTCAATCATTTTCTCAATTAGAATATGATAGCTCTATATTTGCTATACACAAGGATTTCAATAATCACAACAAATCACTTTTTGACTAACAATGGATATAAACTTATATTAAGTCTTGTTAAATATTATTTAGAATTAGTACATAATCTTCTAACCACAACCTTTCTGTCAACAAGTAATTGCCAAGAGGAGGTATTGGAATATTGTGAAAAAATCGAAGTCAACCAAACTTAATTAGTTATTGGTTCCAACTATGCCAGTTGTCTTGTGCTCAACCCTGATTTAGGAATTAAGAGAACAAGAATTCTTAGTTTTGCTGCTGCTATTTTGCTTAGACCACTTAGGTGATCAGCCCTGTATTTTGATCTCCATCCAAGGGCTACTCGGTCTCTTCCTTTCTGAATATATTTTTCTCTTCTCTTGCTGGGACGATTAATCAGTTGTCAATAACTCCTTCAAGTGTCGCCAAAGCAAATACGAGGGACATGAAGTTTTTTTCGATGCATGTCTTCTGAAACCTGTGTCTGCTTTGCAACAGAATGGTAACAAAATTCGACAAGGCTGAGCCATTACGAACTGACCGAAGATTAGAATAGATTGTACTAGAAAATATATCTTTCAAAGATCAGGACATGAGACTCGTCTTTATCCTTTCTGTTGACCTTTGACGGAGTGCAACCTATCTCCAGGTAAATTTTGAGTATCAGGAGTCTCGCGTTTGAGTTATCTTATTACAACTGATATAAATTCAAGTGGTGATTTTACAAGTTAAGCCATTTCTAGCTCTATGTTCAACTAGTTACCCAATTTGCTGTTTAGACAAAATTTGCAATCCTTGAAATTCGTCACGACCTACTGTAGCTTTTGTGATCTGGTTTTTATCTTGAATGAGACACTTGCACGAACTTCTTCAACTTGAAGTACTGACGCTAGTTGAGGCCATTATACAGTTCTCATATGCAATTTCCTAGAGCTGATCATTTCATTGTTCTGCCAATTATGCTCTGGTTTTGTTGCCACTAACGGAGAGAGGTATGGAACTTTGGAGTACATGTAGGACTATGAAAAATGTGTCCAGATTGGGATCTTCCAAGTGCGATGCATTGTTGATCATGCCCAGGGCGTCTGCATCCATGTCTGTACAATTCTCAAGCAGTTGTGTACAAACTGTGGGTCTTTCAACCTCAACACTGTGAATACTAGTTGCGCAAGCTGTGACACTGTTATAGAAATCGCAATGTTTCTCAATCTTTTGAACAGCCGTATGAATTCTGTTGCAAATTTGATAACCATCTCCTCTTCTTTCTCAATACCTTCCATGATGTCTGGCCTGTTCTCTGTGGCGAGAGCTCCAAGCTGATCCAACGGCTCTGCCGATTTGATTGCCAAGTAACAAATGGCGACGGAGTCAAACGAGACTAGCATAAGCAATAACTTAGACCACGTCGGTGGTGAGGTCCTAAATACTTCCACAAGTGGTGAAAATACTCCCCTCACGCATGTCAATACAAATGCCACAGCTGCAACCTGTACTAGACTTACGACGTCGTAAGTCTTCAACAATTACATGTAAATTGCTGAGAGTTACAGCAGGCAAGATGGTGGTGAACCAGCATCTGGTACCTGTTTCAGGGTATGTGCAAGCTCTTTGATCAGGATTCGTTTCCGCTTTTCAATGTAGCAGAAGAGGCCCATCAGTTCCTTGCTCACTTTTATCACGTATCCCTGTTCACAACAATTTGCAGCTCAGTTTCAATTCAGATGTAGGGTGTGCAGGTTGCAAACGCTGCAGTAGAGATTGCTATATAAATGAAAAGCTCATTAGTAGCAACGCAGGCTGTCGAAGGTTTGTCGCGGTAAACTATACCTTATCTCCAACCCGGAGAGAGCTTGACGCACGACCCTCATCAACTCGTTCTCCACGCCAGTTTGGTGTGTACTCAGGATGCTCACAGTCTACCTTGTCACCCTTCCACTCTGTCTCTTCATTGCTCTCTCGTTCTTCACCACGCCGTCGTGTGTGCTCAGAAGACGCGTCTCTCATGGTTTTCCACTCTCTTACCTCCCCATGATCTTGTCCCTCGCAACTCGATGTATTAGCTTTTTTGTAACGTTTCCACTCCTCACAATGCTCATCATGTCCTGGTGTTTCTTCGCACTTCACGATGCTTGACCTTCGGTTTTTTTCACGCTCACCCTTCTGTGTACTATTGAACAATTTGTTTCTACTCGTGGTTGAAGCTGGAAATCCAAATGCAGCTCTTGTAGTAATTCTCTTTCCCCAAGAAAGATAAGTTTCTTGAGTGCATGAAGAGGACTCAGCATATTTAGGTAGTCTTACAGCTCGATGCGCTACTACTGTGATCTGCCCAAAGCTTTTCGACCATGGATCTAGTAGATTCAATGTTCTCCCATAAGTTGAAGCTTCTCTCCCACTGATTGTGTCTCTGGATATGCTTGGAATCGTATTTCTGACTGTTCCAAGAGTCGAGGTCAAGGTCATGTTGAATCACCTTTGAGTGGTTGCCGATGGATTCGCGCTTATTCTGCTACGTTAGAATTAACTCCTTGTGTTCATTGTGGGGGAAGTGGGAGATAGCCCAAGTTGTATCTGATTCAGGCGCAATATGCTCACCTCGATTTTAATGTGCACCACCTTCGGAGACATATGATAAGTGATGCTTCAATGATGAGCTGGCTTCTTACCTCCCCATCCATCTCTTGTATCTAAATTCCATCATTTGTGAAATTTGAGTTTCATTACGATATTCCTTCAAAATCAGTTGGGGTGGAGAGACAACTACTTTGGACAGCAGTCTGTTACTTCAAGTCGGTAACATTTTTTTAAATATTTTAAATCACTCTTAGCACCCTACTCAGTCTTCAAATTTGAAGCTCTGCTCTAACAGCCCTCCTATCTCACGTTGCGTTTTCGATCTTCGATCATTGAGAAAGTGTTTGAGTACATGTTACTAAGGGTCACATCCCTGTACTTACACTGCCCCTTGTCTTTTGATATCTGGTGAATCTGTGAAGAGGCGCAGTGTTATGAAGGGGACTAGGGCAGTTGAAGAGACAACCTGCAAGTATACGATGAAAGTCGAATACAGAAAAATGCAGGACTCGCACTTACGATGGATCGAAGATTGCTTGTACGAAACAGAAGAAAATCAAGTGTAACCGACATGCTAATTTGCTTTGCATGTGTTGCATCAGGGAAATCCAGTAGTCGTAAATATTGACTATTTTTAGAACTCGTTGGCTTTCTTCGAAAATTATTGAGCGGGGTCCTTAATGCAGTCAATTTAAGGCATGGCTTGGATGAATGTCGCAAGTAAGATGAGACTGATGTCTTGGAATTAGGGCAGACAGATTGGAGTCTACCGCGAAATCCCTTTTGAGGGTAAGTTGATCGCAATCAATTGTTGTAGGCGATTTTGTTCGAAACGTTCTGTTGCCAGGTTCGAGATCATTGGACACCAGACATGAGTAGTGATGGCGGTCACGGCGAAGTGCCGAATCTGCCAGCATCTATTGGGCTGGAAGTGTTTCTGGAGTCTTGGTTCCAGGAATTATGCTGTCTTGGGCTTGGGACGCCTCCAGCTTGGTGAGCTGCCCTCTAAGGCTATGCGCGAGTGGGTGCCGCCAGCGGACGACCCATTGCCGTCGTTTTCATCGAAGAAAAGCGGTTTGTTTTCGGACTTTTTTGACATGTGATATTGGCGATGGGATTTTGAGGAGTATGTTACATCCTTACACCACTATTGGACTAAAGATTGCACGATGGGGTTTTTCTGTGTTGAGTTTAGGTCAAGAAGGAGATTATAGAAAACCTTGGCGAAAGTTTTCTGCAGACCTACCGCGGCAGTCGGATGTTAGAGCACAGAAGGTGAAACAATTGTATTTCTGGGTTCTGTTCCATGTTGCAAAATCTGAATGCGCAGAGTGCGTTGTAAGTACCGGCCCTTTTCCACGTAGAAGTCATAGCATATATTAGTTGCAACGGGGAGAAGAAAATTCTCGCACTTTGCTGGAAGTCGGTCGACATTATCTGATGTATACTGTGAATTTTTGGATGCTATTTTCAGAGCAATTTGAAGCAGCCAGATTGGACTCTCATACAAACAAAAGAATCTCTACCGGTGGAGAGTGCATCCACTCCATCTTGGGTGAGTAAGAAAATAGCAGCAGTGTCCGAAGCTCACACGTCACCAGCTGTTATTAATGCCCTAAACGAAGATGAGATTGAGACTGGAGATTGTGACTTGCAGGAGTGGTTTGCCATCAAATCAAGGTTACGTTCTGTTCGAACGCGTTTCTATTTGATTTTGCTGATTATCATGTTATATAACTTCTCCTTTTTTAACAGCGCAAGTTTACATTAATGGAAATCAACTATTCGGAGAATGTTTTCCGGAACTGAACGAAGGATGGGATGGCAGGGAGTTCCAGACCAAGTTGTTAGATGCAGACCCATCTGATGACATGTTGAATGGTCCTTATGCTCTGAAAAAGCGGAGGAGAAGTCGTGCTGTAGTGGGCAGCGATGATGATATTAGGGACCTTTGCTTGAACGGTCAACCTAAGAACTCCCTTCATATTTTAGAGCAGCGAGGGATCGAACCAAGCTCGTATGCCTACGTTTGCTTGCTCAGGAGGTGTACTCACATGAAGGACCTTGCGGAAGGGAAATACGTCCACGCACACATGGCTAAGAGTGACTTTGTACCCACAACCTTCGTGCTCAACGCTCTGGTGAACATGTACATGAAGTGCGGTAGTCTCGTAGATGCTCGTCAAGTGTTCGACAGAATGGTAGAGCGAGATATGTTCACATACACTATGATGTTGACTGGATACGCCAAGTTGGGGTATCCCGAGGATGCGTACAAAATGTACGAGCAAATGCAGAAGGAGCGCGTGCCAGTCGATAGAATTACCTTTACTACTATCCTCAACGTATGTTCAACGCTGCGTTCTCTGGAGAAAGGCATGAAAGTGCATCAGGACATGGTAAGAGGAGGAATTCGTCCAGATATAATTTTGGGTAATACGCTGATCGACATGTATGCGAAGTGTGGCAACTTGAAGCAGGCGCACAGAGTGTTCAAGGAAATGGATAACCGGGATATTGTTACGTGGAATATCATGGTCGGTGGAGCTGCCCGAAATGGCTACTTTGATGAGGCTTTTGAGTTCTTTAAGGCAATGCTAGATGAAGGCCAAAAGCCAGACAAGGTGACTTACATATCTATTCTTAATGCGTGTACATCACTGGAGCAGGGGACGTTGCTACATTCAGTAATCATGAAAGCAGGATTTGAGCTCGACGTGCGAGTGGGGACGGCTCTAGTTAATATGTTCTCCAAATGCGGAAGTGTTGTAGATGCACTCAAGGTGTTTCAGAAGCTACCTCAGCGAAACGTGGTATCTTGGACGTCAGTGATTTCAGCTTATGCCCAAGCTGGTGAACCGGAGAGGGCTTTGGAGTGTTATGCGAAGATGCTAAACGAGGGAATGGTGGCTGACAAGCGTGCCTATACAACTATTTTGAACGTGTGTGCAATGCTAGGAGATATAGAGAAAGGGAAGGCAGTGCATGGTCATATAGTGCAAAGTGGGATTGCAACGGACATAATCACGGAAAATGGTCTGATCGATATGTATGTCAAATGTGGGAGATTAAAAGATGCCTATCGATTATTTCAAGACATGAATGTACGAGATGTGGTGTCCTGGACCACTCTCATCGAAGGATGGGTTCAGCATCGTCAATATCAGGAGGCTCTTGATACCTTCAATGACATGCAACTAGAAGGGGTGATGCCGAACACCGTAACATTCCTTGGTGTTCTCAAGGCGTGTGCTGGTATGGGATCCCTTGTGGATGGCAAACGCATACACGCGAGAATTGTTGAAGCTGGACTTGCTGAAAACGCACACATTAGACACGCTCTTGCTGATATGTATGCAAAGTGTGATAGCTGCGGGAATGCCTTTTAAGTGTCGGATACTCCCTTGTAGCGGATCTATAGAAAAGTTTGATCGCCTCACATGCTTTACTTCCTACTGTTGCTTCTTGCTCTTGTGCAAGGACGTAAAACAAGGATGCTTTTGGATGATTCCCTCAAAGCATATGCATGAGTGGAGCTTATTCGAGTCTGAGACACTGGATGTCGATGTAGTCAAAGATACCGTTTCCATAAACAGCTCCAGGCTTTGACATTACTTGAAACACATATTGCTGACCAAGCATCAGTTAAACTTTTGGCCCGGCATTCTGGTGCGGCTCAATGTGGACAATAATCGCTGACCAACTCAAGAATGCATTGGTGTCAAAACGATTACAAGCGACATCCTAATTGCTGCTGGTATGTGAAAATATCTTTATACTAGTCTTGAAAAGCATTTGTGTTCTGAATTGTATAATTATTGAGTCAACCAGCTACCACTACCTGATGCTATTCATACAAGATGGTTATTTACGCATATTAGCATTGCTGGGCTACATAACTAACGACATGTACACTTGAAAATAACAGGTATTCCAGCCTGTCTCGTTACAGAATTTATACACCACCTGATTTGGAGACGTGCACATGCTTATTTCATGAGATTTAATACAAAAAGAGCCTTCAATGTGGAGTGAAAAATAAATGAAATGGTTTTGGATAAATGAAGCTTTGTATTGTGAGTATTCCAAACACCTTTAATGTCATGTCCACTTCATGTAGATTTGGTCATAAATCCATAAATTTAAAAGAACTAAAAGATGTTGTAAAAGGTATAAAAAACAATAAAGCACTTAGCTTTGATGGAGTTGGAGTTGAGTTTTTAAAATTTAATTGGAATATTATTAGAAAAGACTATCTTCATATGTTCACTTAATCTTTAAAAGAAGTATTTCTTTTATATTCTATTATGCAAGGCAAAATCACTCTATTTTAATAAGACTTCACATAAATTATGTATCTTAATAAAATTATTTTTTTGTCCATGAGATTTATTTTAGATAATATCTTTGTAATTCAGGAGTTATTTATTAGACTAAAAAATTCAATCAATCTCTTGTTCTATTAAAATCAAACTTTTTCAAAGTATATGATTTAGTATTATGACAACTTTAGTAAAATTTGGATGACATCAGCTATTTTTGAAAATGGTAGAAATTCTCTTCATTAAGATAAAAGCCATAGTTAGCATCAATGGGGCCTTCATGTAAATATTTATCAATGATGAAAGATAAGACAAGGTTGCCATCTAATCTTTTATATATTTACTATTTTAAATGATATTTTAAATTTTAAATTTAAGATGACATAAAAAATCATCTATATTTAGCATTATACTACCAAATAATTATGACTAACAAACCTTTAGCCAATATATCAATGATTCTATGTTGACCATTTAACTATTCGAAGATAACATAGTTGTAGTAGTTGATATTTTCAATAATTTTTTTCTTATTTTAGGTCTTGAAATCAATTGGAATAAATTGGTAGTATATTTATAAAAAAATTAATTTATCTAGACTTCTAAAAATTAATTAATTTAAATAGACCTAGAATTTTAATAAAATAATTAGTAAGTTACTAGATGCATGTTTTGGATTGTCACCAAAAACTCATAATGTTTACAAATACTTAAAAGAAAAGCTAAAAAAACTTAAATATTAGAACCTTTAAAAACTTGGTGTTGCGAGAGTAATTATTATTATCTACATTGTTTTCTTATTATCTATATATTTCTTTTTCTTAATTTGAACAAATTCTTTTTAAGTCTTGAAGAAAAATAAAATCCATGGTGAAGAAGTTTTTTTTAGAGAAACTTGAAATCTTTCAGTCAATCTAAAGAAGCCTGGCACATTTATTATAAATAATTATTAGGAGGTGATTTAAATCTAAAGAAGTAATTAACATTTTATTGTCTAAATAGATAGTAAATCCTTACATTTAAGAAGCTAAAACCTACAATAATTGATTAGATACATAATGATGTCTACAAAATCTAAATCATTTAAGAAGTGAGGTCAAATTTTGAATAGACTCTTATTTCTAATCATAAATAGTAGATAGGATATAAAAACTACAATAAAATTGGCACATTATAGATAATAATAGTCAAATTTATATATTTATAATACTCCAATATATTTTATGATATTTAGAATAGACTATTACTGTGGAATTTAGATTTTTTACTAATAAATGTATGTATTAAGTCTATATAAATAACAACACTACACTTATGAGATCTACAAAGAACAAAAGTAATTTTTAAAATATCTAAGTTTTAAAGAATGAAGAAAGGCAAGAAAAGAATTTAATCTAATAAATAAAGATTGTGATTTTTACAACAATATCTATTTGTTATATTAGAAAATACTTCTTTAAAATGGTATTTAAGTTTACGAGAAAAAGATTAGATAAGCCTATTTTTTAAAATTAAAGATTATACTTTGTCAATTACATTTTAAGTCTCATCCTCTTAGGCTGGTTAAAAAATAAAAATCAAATAAAATAAAAGTAAAAGTAATACATAATTCTTAAATTTCTCAAATTAAAAGTATACCAAGTTAACAAATAATCTAGAATACTTACTATGACCTAGAACCTACAAAAGTCTTAATAAAGACAAGCCAAAAAGAAGATTTAAATATAATCCAATCAATTGAAGGACATGTCAAAATTATCCAATTAGTTTTAAAAACAAAAAAGAAGCATAGTAAGATTAAATAATTAATCAAAAAAATTTATATATTGATAGATGAATTATATTTTAACCTTCTTAAATATCTTTAGAAATCTCAACCTAATTTTTTGACTTACAATGCCAAATTAAGTAAAAAAAAAATTAAATTTGTATACAAGAATGGAGCTCATAAAATTCAGAATATAAAAATATATTATTAAATAATTTCTTATTTAATTGAAAAGATGTATGATTCAAACCAAAAGCTAAAAAAGAAGCTATGTTCATATGATTAATTTGGCACCATAAAGTGGCTATAAATATATGAAGAGCAAAAGCTAATCTTAATATATCTCCTAATTTTATATTGGCTTTAATCTTCCAAAAAAATTGTATATATGTTTTGAAAACAACTTTAAGCAAAAAATATTTAAAATTAAATTATATAATTAATGTATAAATTAATATTTAGCATAAGATGCTATATTCCTTTAAAAACATTTATTAAGTAATAAGATATCTTTGTAAGAAAACTACGACCTAAGTTTAAATATTTTGGCACCACATAATCTATTCTAGAAGATATTTGCATTTAGACAATATGGATTTAGCATATTAATTTTATATTTAAAAAATAAAATATTAAAAGACCCATAAATCAAGAGCCAAATATGATTCAATATAATTTAATATAAAAAAATGATGTCAAAAGTTACTAAAAATAAAATGAATAAACATCCAAATAATTACAACATTTTAATTAAGTCTTGGAATAATTCTTAGATGGCCAAAAAATATGATACAAAATAAAATAGTCATGAAAATTTGGTAAAAATTACAAATTCTTTTATATTGTATTATAGAATATTAATTAATAAATATTTAATAAAAATTCTTAAGTCAACATTCAACCATAAAGTCCCTTAAGTCCCATCTTATGCTTAGAGTCGTATTGCTTCAAAGATATTATATACTTAATATATAATTAATCCAAAGAATTTAATATAGCTTATTTTGTATTAAAAGAACAAGATATTTTTGGCTTTTTAGCCTTGAATATTAGCTTTGTATTACTTAATGTCATTGTTATCTAAACTTAGTGGTGACATTGTCAGGTTGTAATATAATTATATGATAAAAAAGAAAAATATAGCTTTTATTATAAAAGTGCTTAATTAAAAATATAGTAGAAAAATAAAGATAAAAGATTTAGAGGTAATAAAAATATTTAGTTTAAATATTGAATTTAAAAAAATATATTTTTACTTATTTTATATAGACAAAAATAAGGCATAAAAAAATAGATTAGAAAAATAATAATACAAATATCTTTAGAAGGAATTTAAGGATAGTTTGTAATAAAAATTATCTTAAAATATTAGAAATTGATATCTTAAGAAGAACAATTGTAAATCAAGGTTGATATCAAATTCTAAGGCACAAAATAGCGCACCTATAGTAATTTTGGAAATTTTTTGATGATTGAAGATTAAGATTAGAGAGAGAAATTAATTTTTATTTTTAACGAAGTTGATTTCAAGTGATTTAGAATAATTTTGAATTATTGGAAGTTACTTAAAGTCAAGGATATATTAGGTGATTTTTATTTTTAAGAAATAAAAGTTAATTTACATATTTAAGAAATTTTTGAATGTTGTAGCAAATGAATAGGTGAAATTTTGTGAGATTAAAAATTTGCTTGTTTGATACGTATTCTGAAAATTTAAGTTCAATTAAAAAATTAGATTAAAGAATATTGGAATTCGATTGGATAAAGGTCTCAGATATTTAATTTTTAGGATCAGTGAGAGTTTCTATAATTGTAAAAAAATCTATTAATTGAATTGAAGCAAATTTTTTTATGTGGATATTAGATTTAGTTTTCATTTTTTTTTTTTTATAATTTTGAAAGAAAGTAAATAATTTAATAAAGAATTTTTGCTTTTAAAAAATCAACATTAAGGTTAGAAATAGAAGGTAGTTGATATCCAAGCAAATTTTTTTTTTTCTAATTAGTGAGTTTAATTTTTATTTATTTATTATTTATTAATTATCATATTAAAATTAATTTCTAAGAAAGATTGACGATTTAATCAATAATTATTAAGATTTTAAATTTTTTATAAGAATTGAATAGAGTTTGATTAGGATTATTTAGGAATTATTTAAGATATTTTGGAATATTTTTAAAATATTGAAATATTTTTTGAAAATTTATTAAGATTATTTAGAATATTTTAAGAGTTTATTAGGATTTATTTAGGATTTTATTAGGATTTGGTTAGATTTTTTTAATATTTCTTTAATTCTATTTTATTATTTTTTGGATTTATTATTATTTATTCAATATTATTTATAATTTATTTATAATTTTAATAAAATAATAAATAATTTCTTTATGATTTTTTTAGAATTTTTTAAGACTTCTTTTGGATTTGATTAAGGTTTGACTAAAATATTTTAAGGTTTAATTGGAATTTTTTTAGGATTCTATTAGAACTATTAAGGTCTTTGTTTGCTACAATTTCTTTTACCATCTTAATAGTATAGCTTTTTAATGTCGGACCACTTCTAAAAAAGATATCACTTTATAAAAGATGCATTACTTTGCAACTATATTGTGAATTTGGTAATACTAGCTTATGTATAAATATATTTTTTTTAAGAAAAATTATCAATAAGAATATTATATTTTATTTAATATGGTATTAAAAAATAATAGTTAGTTACATTTACTAGCATATTTACTTAGATAGGTAGAACTTAGTAGAAATGAGTAGAAGTAGATTAAATTATTGATATCTTATTAAAAAGCTATATAAACTTTATATGTGTTTATAAGTGATTAATAGGTTGGCAACTTAGCTAGTTGCTGCATATTTAGCCACTTGTATTACAAGTTGGCAATATAATGCACATGTTGGAAACTTGCCCTACAAATTAAACACATGTTATATAGCTTAAAAAAAAAAATTATATAATA